AAAGTTCAACAAGACAGAAAATAACAAATGTTGGCGAGGATGTAGAGAGATTGAGACTCTCATACATTGCTGGTAGGACTGTAAAATGGTACAACCACTATGGAAATCAGTATGGCAATTCCTTAAAAACTTGGAATTAGAAATACCATTTGACCCAGCCTTTCCATTACTAGGTATATATCCTAAAGAAGTGAGAGCCATGACAAGAACAGACATATGCACACCCATGTTCATCGCAGCACTACTTACAATAGCCAAAAGATGGAAACCTAGGTGTTCATCAACTGAGGAATGGACAACCAAACTACGGTACACACACACAATGGAATACTATGCAACCCTAAAGAATAACATAGAATCTGCAAAGCACTGCATAACATGGATGAACTTGGAGGATGTTATGCTGAGTGAATTAAGTCAGTAACAGAAAGACAAATATTGTATTAGTCTGTTATTGTAAAAGGAACAGTTTATATGTGGAATGAAATTTTCTTTGTTGGTTACCAAGGGTGGGAGGGGAGGGGAGGGACCACTGTAAGACAGGTAGAGATAAGTATTGATTTGGGTGAAGAGAAGGGCAATGTACCAAATGTGAATGATCAACATGGCGGCATTGAGGAAGAGGAAGATATAGGTACATGGGAGGTGCAGACAACAAAGATGAACCCTTTTGCACATACAGTACTGCGTTGTCAGTAAAGGCAAACACAGGTATACAGGTGGATAGACGGGTGGGCAGGCTGAACTATAAGGTATGTCTATGAAGCAGGGAGTGTGAAATAGTCTCTCAACAAATAGATTGTTCTACTTGTGGCTACCACTGGAGGGACTTAATAAATTAAAGAGCACAAATCTCTTATAACTAAAGGAGCTCCTTTTCTGATTGGCTTATCCAGACTAGTAAGTGCTTAAATAAATCTAAGAGAAAGTCACTTAAAAATTACCAGAAGGGAGAATTAAACTTCTAATGTTTTCAATGTTCTGGTCCTTTAATAAGGAGCTCTGGTGGCATAGTGTCTACAGCATTTGACTGGTAACCACAAGGTTTGTGGTTCAAACCCACCAGCCACTCCTTGGAAGGAAGACTGAGCAATCTACTTACGTAGAGAGACTGCCTTGGAAACCCAAGGAGAGGTTGGTATGAGTTGGAAAGTTTGTTTTTTTTTTGTTTTGAGCCTTTAATAATAGCTTCAGTTACCAGCTTCTATACTAAATGGAAGAAGGGGAAGAGGCAAGTAGTAAGGTTTGCTATGAATTAATAGACTTGGCTGCTAGGTTAACTAAAGCAAAGAAATGCAAATTAATCAGGTGGTAGGCAAAAAAAAAAAAAAAGTCTAAAAGAATTCTAGTACTTTTAAGTAAAATTTGAAGAGTTTTCAATATTTGATATATGTAAAAGCAGAAAACTTCTATAAGTTTAATTTTAGGTAATCATCCTTCAAAAAATAGACTGGTTTGGTCATTTTGGCTCAAAAATCACCAGAAAATGTTCTCTCCAATATTATTGTATTGGAAAAATAATGTTAACATGTTATTTTGCTTATGTAAGACAAGTGGATGTATTTTCTCATGTGAAGCCTAATAAATCTGAATTTCCTAAATTTCCTTTATTAGGATTTCTTGGTCAGATAAGCTAACATTACATCTATTAAATGGTTAAAATTATAAAAATACCAACTTTGTTATTTTAAAAGGATTTGCTCTTCAGATTTCAGACAATACCGCAAATCATACACATTCAGTTACTCCACATACAATGCCCAATAAGATTTTAAAATGCCATCTTTCTGACAGACTTTTGATATCAACTGTGATTGAACTATTCCATACTATCAACCTAAATTGTAATTTCAAGATCCCTTGATGACTTTGAGACCTTGACGTAACATTAAATTTTGGTCATCTGAAAAATGTTTAAAAAAATTAGAACTCATAAATAAGTATAAAAAAATACGTCACCAAGTACAGATTTACTATACATCCATACCTCTTATTTTTATGTATTATAGGGTGAGTTTCAGTTAGCAGATGGGAAGACAAGTATAAATACATTTGAGTGAATTAGTACACATAGTATTGTTGTTATGTGCCATCGAGTCGACCTGATTTATAGCGACCCCTCCTTGGGTTTCTGAGGCAGTATCACTACGGAAATAGATTGCCCAACTTCCTTCTGAGGCTTTTCTAGCCATAAGTCTTTGTAAACTCCATGGTGGAATTTTGCCATGAGCAACTGAGTAGCTCCTGATTGTTAAAGTTATCCACCTGGGGTATTTCTGTGGAGTAGGAGGAAGCAGTCTTCTGGGAAGTTCTCTCTCTCTCAGGTGTATAGAATTCTGGTGTTGGGATTGGTTAGTCTGGCCACTCTGCCAGGCTCAAAAAGGAGTCCTCCTAGAGGCAGGAGTCTCTCTGAGTGCTGGCTGAGAAAGACAAGCTGCTGAGAGAAACATGCTCCTGAGAGACATGAGAGACACATGCTGCTGAGAGAGAGACATGAGAGACATGCACTGCTGGGAGAGAGACTGAGAAAGACTATAAGGTGAAAGACGGCAGGCTGAGAGAAACTGAACGTGTCCCTGAACTTGAATTGTAGCCTGTTGCTTCCCTAATAAACCCCATAATCTGTGAGTTCTATGTGGCCACTGCAGCAAATTATTGAACACAGCAGAGAAGTGGTGGGCGCTACAGGAGGAACGGTTGGTGTCCAGGGTTGGTGAAAGGGCTGGAAGGAGGCAGCATGTCTGGCCTTGCAGGGATAGGCACTGGGCTACTGCTGGTGATTCTGTCTTCCTCTTGTGGGGTCAGAGTAGATCAGAAGATGCAGCCTCCTTGCCTCTTTAACAGTTTCTGAGGAGGTAAATCTTTATGGAAACAGACTGCTCAGGGTTCCTTCCATGGAGTGGCTGGTGGGTTTGAACCACATATACTACTACATATAAATTACTATCAATAGTTTCTTCCACTACATTAATGGTTTTAACCACAGTATGGATCTGAATCCTGTGGAGCTTTTTTGTTTTCCAACTTATATTGTGATTTGGGTAAAAATTTACAGAGCAAATTCATTTTCCGTACAGCAGTTCACATACACTTTTGTCTCATGACACTGACTGCAATTTCTCACAACGCAAAGCTCTCTTCCCACTTCCTCCCCATAGTTACCTCTTCCCTGTGATTTTCTCTCTCATGCACTGCCCCCTGAGCTGTCTCCCTGTGCATACATAGCCCTTCTGTCCTCCCATGACTGATCTCTTTCCAAGGAGTATATCTACCTAATGTAAATGTTCAGCTCATATGCTGTCTTTTGTTTGGCTCAAAGCCACAAGAGTGGGTTCAATTCCAGACCTGAAGGGCAGCTAGGGGCCATAGTCTCAAGGGTTCCACCAGGCTCTATCACACCAGCAAATATGGTCCCCCCGCTTTTTTTTTTTTTTTTTAAGATTTCGAGTTTTGTTCCACATTGTTCTCCCACTCTATCCAGGATCTCCTACATAGATCCCCCTGGTGGAGCTTTTTTAAAAAACATACCTTTCTTCTGTATATATACTGTCTGGGATGGAACATAGTCATCTACACTTTTAAAAAACATACATAGTGATTGTGAAACTCAAGCTCAGTCAAGAATCACTGCATTAGACTATAAAACTCAAGAGTAGGGCCATATCAACCATTCCATCATCTAATTTCTAGAACAAGTGCTCACATAGGAAAGACACTTCTTCTAGTAAATGGCATTAAGGAAAAAGAAGATTAGAAGTTAGATTTAGGTTTTACTCTTAGCCCTCTCACTTGCTACTAGATGACCCAAGGCAAATTGATGTCTCTGAGCCTTAGATTCCTCATCTATAAAACAGAGGTTAAAAAAAAAAAAAAAAAAATCTACCTGTCAGGGTTGTTACGATAGATAACATAACATATGCTGGACTATAATATGCACTCAAATTATAGATACTATAATTATTCTTAAATAGATGAAGAAAAATATTAGATTTGGAAATTCCGCAAATACTATTGAATGCCCACTCTGGAAAGTCTACTCTATGAAGTTACTTGAGTGACTACAGTCTTCTAAGAGTGTCTACAATCTAACAGGAGACAGGAACATTCTCTCTGATAAGGAAAACTTTGGTAAGTGTAAACCTAGGGAGGCATATTTAATATGTCATGGGAAAATGGAGAAAGGAGAAATTAATTGTGATCTGGAGTTACTTCTTAAATGCATGACATGAACTGTGCCTTGAAAGCAGCAGAGCCAGATAGGCTCCTTGGACATTACTCTAGACCAGGGTTGTTCTCAAATTTGCTAGCACATATCAAAATCACATTAAGGGCTGGTTAAAATCCACACTGCTGGGCCCTACGCCAGGTACTGACTCAATAAGTCTGAGAATCTGTATTTCCCAGGTGACAATGTTGGTCAGTGGATCCCTTTTTGAGAATCACTGGTCTAGAGAGAAGGAGTGCTTGAGCAAAGCTGACAGGTGACATACAAGGTATGCCTGAGGAGCTATAAGATGGCAATTGCTGAAACTGTATGGGTGGTAAAAGAGTATGGTAGGAGAAAAGTCTAATAATAAAGACTTTCTCAATGAAAATTTTCCTTCTCTCATAAGAGGTAGATAAATTACCTAAGAAAACTTTCTAAGAAGGTAAGCTGACCTTCAACATTAAATTAAAACTAATTACCCCATTGTGACAAGACATTTATTATCTCTAACCTGTACCTACCTTTCATCTCCATACCCTACCACCAGCTTTGCTTCTCACAGGTGAACAATAAGGTAATGAAGTAACAAATTTTTGGCCATAGAGCTATTGAAAAGTATAAAGAATAGGAGGAACATGGTATTACTCCATTATTCTTTATAAATGAGAATTTAACACTAAATGTACTGTATTTTACTTAGTATGCTGTAAGTTAAAATCCTTCCAAAAAAAAAAAGAGTTGAGACCTAGTCATTGAATTCACCTTTAAATTTTAAGGAATGTTCTGTACTCACCAAAACCATCAATATCTAGATTATTTTCAACCACAACATCTAGCAGAGAGTCACCAACTTTTCCTTTGGTTGTTAATGTTTCACCATCACGGTTTATGAAGTGGACTGTTATTTTATCTTCTGAGCTGGAAAAGAAAGTGGTCCTTTAGCATTTTCAGTCATTTCAAAAGATTAATTTAATTATTTTAACCATTTGAAAGGTCAAAGAAATGGTGTGCTTTTTTTGGTTTTGTCTTTTCAAAATATATGGATATACTCTTTTATAGTACTTTCTTTTCTTTCCAGAGTTTATTTGGGAAGATGACACCACAAATCAATGGCATATCTATCTACCCACCTACCAGGTGAGAAGCCCTTTAAAGGAAACAACAACTGTGTCACCACTAAGTCCACCTGGTAGGTTGGAGTATTTGTCTTCTCAGTAGTACATTGGTCATGTGAGGACATTTAGCAATCATTATTGCTTATCAAATCTAATTTGTTCTCTCACAACTCTCTGAAAACAATGTCTCTGCAAAAATGTCCCTACAAGATAAGACCAGGGTTGTGGTGGGCTTTAGAAAAGCAAATCATTTTGCTATCATTAGAGCAATTACTGGGCAGGTAGGTGCCTGATAGGGCGTTGCTGATACAGAGCAGGTTGACAGTTCTCTGAGTATCTCATTTTAGTTCATATTGTGTACCCTAAAATTGCAGAGATAAGGTTTTTGTTCATTTTAATTTGTGGAAAGGCAAACACACAAAATACCTCCATACGTGTTTTTATTATCTTTTACCTAAACCAAAAAAAAAAAAACCCAAACTCACTGCTGTTGAGTCGATTCAACCCCTCCTTAGGTTTCTGAAGTGATATCACTACAGAAGTAGATTGCCCAATCTTCCTTCCAAGGAGTGGCTGGTAGGTTTGAACCTCCAGCCTTCTGATTAGCAGTCAAATGTCTTAGGCACTATGTCTCCAGAGCTCCTATCTATCAGCTAGCTCCCTTAAATATGTTTTCATTCTCACAAACATCATTCCAAAATTTGGAGACAGAAATAATACTACCAATTAGATCTTTATCCTCTACCATTGGTCATTTTGATTTTTATCCTCTAGGAAAAATGTACTTCAGCTTAAAATAATTCATTGTAATTTCCACTACTGCCAACAGATGGTAATAGTCCATCAAAAACTTTTGTTTATTTAAGTAAAATTTAAAATTAAAGAATTTCAGTTATAAAATATTGTAAACTAAAGTCCAATTATCTCATTTCATAAATGAGGAAACTGAAGCCTGTATTAGTTATGCCCTCCATGAATTTTCAAAGCTGAAAAAAAAGAGAGGATTCTGTTAATTCAAGATTATCAAAAGTAGATGAGTGTGAAGATACCCTGGATGCAGGGAGACCACTTCTGGAGTCATTAAAAGAGCACAAAGTAAGCTAAGATGCAGAAGATATCACTTACAAGATATTCAGGAGACAGAATTAAAAGGTTTTGGTGACCATCTATTTAAGGTTAATTGAGGGAAGAAATAACAATTGAGATTTCCAGCTCAGGCAGTTAGGGATACAGTTTAACCTAGGGTTAACAAAGGAGGAGCAGGAGCTTTGGGGAAGATGAAAATGAATCAGAGTTTAGCTCTATTTGATTTAATAATGCAAAAATCAGATAAGAATGTCCAGCAGTCAAGTGGAAACACAGGTCTGAGCCCAGCAGAGAAGTCTGGTGATTTGACATCAACAAATGTCTGATAGCAAAACCTACAGGAAATACAGCAGAAAGAATCCTATATATATACTACTCAAAGTTTATCTGGGAAGCAGTTAGGACGGCTGTTCTTTGGAAGCACTACAGAGCTAACCTTACAGCAGAGGAACTGAAAATCTCCTTCATATATCAGATTCCTCTTCTGTTATTCTATAAAACCAGAATAATATTTATGCTATAAAGCTGCCATCTAGATGCAACGATGGGTCTCTCCCCGTCAAAAAGAAAGAAGAAAACCAAAGTTAATGGAAACAATCAGTCCTAGCGACTGGTACACCATCCGATCTGCAACCTGTACAACTATGAGACCAGAAGAACTAGATGGTGTCCGGCTACCACTGTCATCCACTTGGAAGGGATGTAGGAGATCCTGCATA